CTTAAACCGGTCGTATAGCTGCTAGGCATCATATCAATCTCATAGAATTAAATCTAAAAAAAGTTAAATTGATAGAAATTTGTCTAGTCTAATTTGATTATATATAATTTATTCTATATAAAAATTGATTATTTATGTATTGTTTAGTTCCGCCACGTCTATTAACAATAGATCCTATTGAAATAAATCTTGATGAACAACATCCTCAACGTGTTTCATTTACTTGTCGTATTGATCGTGGTTCATCAGAAAGTCTTTCATTAGAATGGCAATATTTAAATAATACAGCAATACAAGCAACAAATGGAATTTATATTGATAAAACACGTTTAGAAATTGATAAATTAATTGAATTACGTTTTGAACCTGTACGTCGAGAACATTTTGGAAATTATTCATGTGTAGCTAAAAATCTTGCTGATAGTTCCTATTCACTTGCTAGTCTTTATATTCGATGTAAGTAAAATAAATTCTATTAGCATTAGTTTTAATTATTTGTTTTAGTTCAACCTGTTTTTATTGGACCAAATATTCAAGTTGTTTCAACAATACCAAATTATCGAGTAGTTATGCGTTGTCAATTTGAATCTCATCCACCACCACAAATACAATGGATTAAAATGACTCGAACTGTACAAGATCCTGAAGGGCGAGTACTTGATGTTGATGTTGATAATGGTGTTAATGATATAACAACTAAGCAACTTGGTCCAACACTTTTCGAAAGTGTTCTTTCAGTAAATATTTTAAAACGAATGTTTTCTTTTTTGTTTCAATTAAAAGAATATTTTATTTAGTATACACCATCAGAACGCGATTTTGGTTTAAGTTTTGAATGTCGTGCAATTAATCCACGTGTTGGTCGACATTCATATACACTTCAACGTGCTGAACCACCAAAAAACGTTCGTGTTGTGGAAATAAAACCTTTAACAAATGGAGCAGAAATTATTGTTCAACCACCAGAAACTGGAGGTTTACCACTTATGGAATATATTGTTAAGTATGGTTTAGTTGATAAAACAGAAGATCAACAAGAAACATTAACTATTCCAGGTATTTATTCTTGTTTTTTTTATAAATGATTTGCATGGAACTGTAAACAAAAGCCGTTTATTGATCTATAGATGGCAAAATTGAAAAATAGATGTTTGTTCATGAAATAGAAAATGATTTATGGAATAAAAAGTGTGTTACATAAAAATTTTCTCTTCCGTACGAACAAACACATGCATCGATAGAAGCATAATTGTCATTTTTGCCATTATAGATTAATTACTGTGAGAATGACATTGAAAAATACAGGTGCTACTCTACTAGAAAGATACTTTACTAGATATGGACAAGATGATTTGTGCATATGTCTAGATACGATAGATAGATCTTTTAATATTTGCTGAGTTAAAACAAGTCTGTGAGAGAATTTGAATAAAATGTTGTTTGAGTAAGAAAATGTTTCGTTTATTTTTCTTTTAGTTCAAACATCATCTGATGATCAACAAGACCAATCCCAAGTATTAAAAATTGAAAAACTTAAGCCAAGTACTAAATATCGTTTTACAATTGTTGCTAAATCTCGTGCTGGTATGGGTCAATTAACAGGACCAATACCATTTCGAACACTTGATAGACAACTACCAGATTTTAAAATTGTTAAAACTGATGAAAATAAAAATGACACATGTTCAAATGATCGAACTTGTTTAATTAAATGGATTATTGAATCTGATGGTGGTGCACCTATTATTCGAACGGAAGTTTTATATGCTAAAGTAAATAATAATAATAAAAAACAAAATGAAATTATCTTAAGTCATTTCTCTTTTAGGCTAAAAGTGACAATAGTTTGGAACCCGAAGGATCATTTAGTACACCGATATCAATTGATTCATCGGTATCTGAATATGAATTAACGGAATTAAAACCATCAACTAATTATATAGTTATTGTTAAATTATATAATGAAGCAGGTGCTGCTGAACAAAAACTTCGAATAACAACATTAAATGAAAGAGGTAATAAGAAGTTTTGTTTTTTGTTTTTCTTTTTAAATAAAACTTTAATTTGTCATCTATTCTTTTTAGATCGTAAGGCAGGTACCATACGTCCATTAATAAAAGATTATAGAAAAAATCAACCAAGTAAATGGGTTATTCTTGGTATCATATTTGGTATTATCTTCTTTGCCGTTGCATTTGTTGGTCTTTGTGTTGCATTACGTGTTTATCGACTTGGTGGAAAACATAAAACAACTGATTCGTAAGTTATTTGAAATTTTGATATATTCTTTGAAAGATAAAAAAATACATTAAAACAACTAATGTTTTATATATAGTATTACAAAAAAAATAAAAAAGTAGGTTTTGTTATCTATTTTGACATAATATGTGATGTATGTTAATTGCATGTTATATTTGTTAGTGAAAAGAAAAAAAAAATGAAATCAACGGGTTAATAAATAACTTCAATTTTTCTCTAGCTCTTCAACATAATAAGTCATTTATTTATGGTAAAAGTCTGACTGTATGTGTGTTAATATTTTCCCTTTGCTTTGCTCGCCAATGAGCTGACCATTTATACAACTGTATTTGAAACGAATGTAACTTAATTATTATTATTTTTTCCATAGGGATCATCAAACAACACCTATGATGAATGGAAATAATGGTGAAAATATATCTGATCAACATGAATATACGAATGGTCATTCATCAAAAAAGGTATTTAGGAAACAAAAATAATAACAATAATAAACGAAAAGAATAAATAAATAAATTTTATTTAGCCAAAAAAACTGAAAACAACTAAAGCTCAGCCATTTGACACTGAAGTAGCGGTATAAAGTCAGAATATAATTATGTGTGCTTAAATATTGTTTCGTAATGCTTTCGATAATTGATGCTTTTTCTGTTCTCTTTTGTTTTTTCCTAAAATGAACTTTTTCTTGGGTTTTTTTCCAGCACGGCGATGATGTATAAGGTGAATATTCTACTACTCAATAATCGATCCGTCGATGAATCTCAATTTTGCAAAAACTTTCAAGAGAATGTTCATGATATAGACGTAGGATCATGTTGTATATTAAATAATATAATGAGGATATATATGTGTGTGTGTTTGTATGATGTTGGTGCTCTATTTTTGTTGTTCGTTTATTTGAATATCTTGGCTCCTTCTTCTGTTCTTCTTTTTTTTTTCTGCATCTAGTCAAATATTTTGTTTTCAACTCTCTGAGCATACATCAGCGGCATTAATTGAGCTTTAAACGAAAACATATGCAACAGCTAAATATCTGAATTTTTTTCTTTTTCGCTTTTTTTTTATTATTATTGTGAACAAAAAATTCTCTTTTTTTCTTTTTCTTTTTCTTTTTTCGTCTTATTCGCTTGTACAAATGAAATACAGTGTTCAAATATAAGAATGTTGTTGTAATTTGTTTTGTTTTGTTTCATGAAAGAATATATGAATTAAAGAACACTGATTTATGTCAAATTTATATTTATGAATGATTTGATTTATTAGACTATTGTGTATGTTAAATGAAATTTCTCGATAAAGAATTGATTCCTTGTAGTGTTTTCTTTTCTCTCGAAATATATTGAAAAGACCTCTGAAATTATTGGAGATAAATTAAGAAATTTATTTTCAAATCTGTCCAAGTAAATTATTACGAATCGCTATAAGCCGGTGCTTTTCTTTTGCCATATTTTTTATTGCAGTACACCTAGTATAATTGGTTACATATAATATCGTATCCTTGCCTAAAACGTCGTAAAGATATTGTAATATTGCCATATTCTATCATACATACGACTATATTGCTCTCCCAGTATTCTCGGAGAAATACGGCCCCGTTGACGTGTCGCATTTCATCGTAAACAGTCGTATACAGATAGTATTCTTTAACCAGGATGGTTATTTCTTATGAAGTATCTTCTTGTCATAGATCAGATATTATTTTATCTTAGCTTATGTTATGTATCATATCAAATCTTCAAACTATTATTTTTTTTCCGTTGCTCGCTCTACAGTAGCTGGGTTCTTATTTTTATATGTGTATTACTTTCCTTAATCTACGCGAATATTTATATGTAACTGTTTCTGCATCTCTATTCCATTAGTCTAAACTCAAGTGAATGGACTATCGATGAATGATATTTTTTTTATTTTGATTATGAAATCTTCGAAAGTCATATCTATACCGTGGTCTTTTATTCCCATATATCTTTGTATCTCGAATAAGTGATTGTTTTTGTATTTTATTCATGTATAAAGCATATTTCATTTACACACCTTGATGTTTATCATCAAGTTTTCAACTAAATATTGATAAATTGAATGATTTTCTTTTCAAATTATAATGAGCGATGAAAATAAACAATTAAATAGAAAAAAAACGAAAATTGAGTGTTTATGATGATAAAAGGGTGTTGGTGTGGGTAATTTCTTTATCCTCGTCGTACCTAACCTTAACTTCACATTGTGAATATACTATAACATCCTTGCTGATGAGACAGAATATTTCCACATCGTTGGCTTCTATTATCGTCATTTATTATATGCCATGTTGCTACTTTTTTTAAGCATACTTGATGTAATCAAATAGGATGTCCATAATGATATAGCTTACCAAGAAAAATCACGAATTCAAGAAGAATAAGGTCTTTGAAAACAATAAAAAAAGTCATACAAAAATGAACCTCATATATATATATATATATATATCTTAATAAGCCATCATTGATTGAACAATCTACTCTTGAAACATTTCGTAATAAACACACAAAAAATTATTAGTTCCTTATTAGATAATGTAGATATTACTATTTAAAATTTTCTGACTTTCAAAATACAGAACTCAAGTTATTAATTATTTTAAGTCGATTGTGCAATAGAAGTTCTGCAGTAATTCAAGATATGCTACACAATTTGATTAGACTATTTGAAAAAAATCCCGAACATACCATATCATATAAAAAGTCTCAGATTTATATTTGCTATTAAAGTTCTTCATCTGATTTAGATTGTAGCCTAGAGTGTGAGTGTGCAGTATTAGTCTTTTCATCAGGTACATCCACATCCAATGAACTATTGCTAAATTGTAATAGAAAGAACAATTCATTGCAAGAATCAAAGAATTTTAATTTTCTTCTTTATTCTTTATATCAGCCTGTCGGATAGGTCTATATTTGACACAGAAAGTCTCCTTATCGTTGGAAAATAGACAATATTGTAAAACTTTTTTATTTACAATATCTATACATCATTTCGACATATGCAGGCTACCTTATCGGTGAGCATTAACGGATTACGTTCTCAATAAGACAGTGTCTTTGTTGGTGCATGTGCACGTTTCTCTTCAAAACAAAACAGAAGAAAATACTCTTTTCTCATCACTACATCTACTTCTTCGAAAAAAACAAAAAACAATTACATTTCTTTCTTTACATATTCGAAGTTCTTCTTCCATAGTTGAAGACGAGGGTGATTCTCAGATAGTGAACGCTGCCCAATTTCAACAGCATGTTCAAAAAATGACAGTGCATTCGAATAGTTATCCATATTAAAATACATCGAACCAATGTTGTTGTAAGATTCAGCCAAATGAGGATGATTTGGAGGACAAGTTTTTTGCCAGATTTCCAGTGCTTTTTGAAGAGATGCGAGTGCATTCGAATAGTCACCCATATTGGAACACACCGAACCAACGTTGTTATAAGCAGTAGCCAAGTTAGGATGATTTGAAGGAAGAATTTGTTGATAGATTTCCAGTGCTTTTTGAAGAAATGAAAGTGCACTGGAATAGTCACCCATATTGGAATACACCGAACCTATATTGTTGTAAGAAGTAGCTAAATCAGAATGAACAGAAGGACGAAATTTTTTCCAGATTTCCAGTGCTTTTTGGTAATATAAAAGTGCATTCGAATTGTCACTCATGTTTTCATAAACCACACCAATGTTGTTATAAGCAGTAGCAAAACTCGGATCATTTGAAGGAACCGTTTGCTGGTAAATTTCTAGTGCCTTTTTAAGAGATGAAAGCGCACTCGCATGGTCACCCATGTTGGAATACATCAAGCCAATCTTGTTGTAAGCAGTAGCAAAACTCGGATCATTTGAAGGAACAGTTTGTTGGTAGATTTCCAGTGCCTTTTGAAGAGATGAAAGCGCATTCGAATAGTCACCCATGTTGAAATACAGCCAACTAATCTTGTTGTAAGAAGTAGTCAAATGGGGATGATTTGAAGGAAGAGTTTTCTGTTTGATTTCTAGCGCTTTTTGATGAGACGATAGTGCATTTGAATAGTTACTTATGCTGTCATATACTGAACCAATATTATCGTAAGAAGCGGCCAAATCAAGATGAGTTGAAGGAAGAATATTTTGACGAATTTCTAGTGCTTTTTGATGAGATGAAAGCGCATTCGAATAGTCCCCCATTGCGGAATAGACCAACCCTATTCCAGTGTAAGAATCAGCTAAATCGGCGTCTACTGGAGAGAAACTATTCTTCATAGTCTCAATAGATTTTTGATAATAGTCAATAGCATCAGCATGTTCACCTTGACGATACTTGACTATGGCGAGCATATGACTTGTTAATGCTTTTTCATGATCAGTCATTTTTTGTTCAAGCAGCATATCATATAATTCTTGGGCTTTGTTGAACTGTTCCAATTGAATGAATAAGTTACCCAAACGATTCCATCCTTTCTTTTCAGGATAGATCTCTTTGCGTATCTGTTCAGTAATTGCATGCAGTTCTGAGTCATTGCCACTAGTCAACGTTAAGTCAACTTGCCAAAGACGATCATTTCTATCAATTTCTTTCATTGGTCCAATGCGAAAAACGGAATGCATAGAGAAGAGAAACTCTTCTTCTCGTTTGAAATAACTAACTTCACTAATGTTAGCGAATGATGTTGACTCGATGGATGGATCAATATTCATAGCAAATACGATACCAACGAAATCGGATGTTTCGACAATTCGACGAACAAAGTTGAGAGATACTGTACGCTTCGTACTAGCCGATAAGAAATTATTAAATGATAAAAGTCCACCTTGCGTCTTGATCAATTGATCAAAATCAGCTTTTGGTAGCCCTTGACCACGATAAATAGTAAATGAGCTAGAGGATGAAAGTTCAACGCACTGTTGAGCATGAAGTTTAGTGATGTTGTTATGGACATCACGAACAAAAAATCCCATTCTTATGATGAGATCGACCTCCATCATTCGTAATGATCGATTGAGCATCGAATACAAGAAACAGGGGTAGGTATACCACCAAATCGGATGATGCTGGTGATATCCTCGTTCGATTTTGTCGATATTTTGCAGTTCTATTGGATTTGCAGCGAATAATTGACGGCAGTAAGTAATAAATTCACCGATGTGGTGTTGGTTAAAATCAGTGGTTAATAAGATCTCTTTCATTATCTGACTATACATAAATGAAGAATCCAATTGATCGAGGTTTGCGTTACCTCTTTGATTACTAGTTGTGAGAAAACTAATCGGAATCATGTTTTGGTCACATTTATCTGCTGCTTGTTGAAGCGCTTTAATGATCGAAGCAATGTCTGTGAATACGCCGCTGATTTTTGGCCATTGTTTGCTCCAACCATTATGTTGAGCATAGGTCGTACTCCAAATATAAATATTACTGACTTGTGGAACGTCGTGAATGATAGAGACACTTGTTTGTCCGAAAGAACCAGAAAAGATGATAAATATTTTCTCTTTTTGAATATCAGTTATAAAATCAATGCAAGCGTTCAAATCAGTGAATGGATATATATTATTGACTACTTTTTTAAATTTGTTGATGATATTCATATACGTGTCGTTATGGATATCATTAGTGTTGGTATCAAGCCACACCAGTAGGAAGTTTTGAACCATACGAGCATAAAAAGGCTGTCGTGGCCATATTCTAGTATGTTCAGATGTTGTGCTAACAGCCGTAGTAGTAGCAGTTGTTGTTGTCGTCGATTTTTCCCTGTTGTTCATGGTATGTGGGTTGTTTTATCAATTAGAAGCAAAAATAAAAAAGACTTGGATTTATATAGCGTTTTGGGGTTTTTTTGTAGATGTTTCTATTAGTTTTTGATTATTGCTGTCGTCCGTGTTGGTTATTTTTCTTTTCGTTTCACTTGAATGCTTCATTCCTCTTATCTATCTGTCGTTGTTTGTAGGCTGACAAGACAACGAATGAGTGAAAACAATGATTCATCGCAGCATGATTTCATGCACTGTATCATATTACACTTCTATTTTAAGTGTATGGGACTGTTCATTTAAAACTGAATTTTGAAAACAAATGATGCTCGATTTTTCCAAACATGAGGTTCAGGGAGACTAGCGAAATAAGACTCTGTCGGAATAGAAGACTTAAGGAGAGGGTCTTACTATGCATCAAACATATTATACATCCCACTAATAAAAAGCCAACAGCACTCTTATGCATGTTATAGGATGTTTTAAGTAAGTGATTAATACCCAATTTAAATGCAGACTCCTCATCCCTCTATTTTCACGATATACCGTCTTATAAACCTTGAGAATGATCTATTGTTATATATTACTATGTAGACTCTACTTTTGGAACGATGGGACTGAGGAGTCTTAAAGAACTATTCTTATGAATATATATGTATACATCGTCTATTAAGGTGTAAGTGTGCTGATGTTCGTGCATGGATTAGAGAGTTGAGAAGGGTACACAAAAATCTGCCCTGACATCTATACCCACATCTCACATCCATTCACTCACAACGAATCGTCCTAGCACACGTTTTATGATGTGTCCAAATTTTCTTTCTCTTTCTCTTTATGTTATCGTAACCTGAACCAGAAGCCTTTAGTCTTTCTGCATGAATTTCTTGACAGGTCCAATAAGAATCCTGCAATGATTCATTGTTTTTTTTCCTAAGAAAACGGCGAACTCCTAAAGAAAATGTGCAGTCACAAAATTCCAACATTCTGAGCAGTTTAATACTAGATTTAAAAGTAGAAAATGGTTTACGCCATCGTGCATCGTAAAAGAAACTTGTAGCCACGAAATGCAAAAGATTTTGACAGGATCAGAAACAAGATCTCAAAAAGAGCATGAGCAGCTCTTCATTGTTTTCAGATCATGATCTTGCCCTAATTTCAATAATTCCTAGTTTGAAAATACAAATATGAGTCAACATCTTGCAGAGTTCTACTAGTTTTTACTCGACAATCTTCTCCGAAATCTTGACAGGTTATTTGCAGAGTTTTCTAAAGACAATAGAATAGAAATAAATACATAGAGGATCGTTCTCTAAGTCTTCAGTTTAAAAATCGATCAATTCTTCTGGCTGGATCGTATCATGTTTTGGTATATAACTATAAACTTGTACATCTTAAATCGTGACTACATTGTAAACTTATAATAAAGTTTTATGGGCACAACGCATATCACAAAAAAAAATTAAAATACAACATCAGTTGAAATTTTTTTTATAGTTTACGAAATTCTACTATTCTTTATTCGTGTTAAGTTTCATTGAAAAGATCTATTTCTTTTTTTTTTCTAAATATAATCCAAAATATGAATACGTTTTATTAAATGGATTAGTCTCTTACTAAAGATAGCCATTCGATGAAAACAACTAGTGTAATGACTGAAACGAAATTAATATGCTAGTTTAAAAAATTTTCAAATTCTTTTTCAAGAAAAAAGCACAATAATAACTGGTGTTTCTTGCCAGGCAACTCATATTTGTGGAACGGCTTGAGAACGAAAGGAACTTCACATCAGAGTATCGAAAAACTATTGATTGTATAGACACAGAGTTTTGTAAGAATGCTTAAAGGAATATCATACAACTATCTAATCTTTACATTAATCGCGACACAATATAGCACTTCGAGTTATGCGTTGAGAAAGTGACAAAATCTCACACACACTTACTATACTGTTCATACTGTAATAATGTGACGAACTGATAAATCACTAAACAACAATAACGTCAATGTGGTACTTTTCTCAACACAGTACATGAGTGCACGGTAAGTATGAAACTATCTCAAAAATTAACTTTTAGTTGTATATAAATCACATGGTTTCAAAATTTGATATTTGTCAAAAAGGCATTGAAAACATTAAAATAAAAAAAAAAGTTAATCTTCAATAATCATTATCAGATGCCACTGAATTAGTTGATCCTGCATTATTTATCGGTGTAAATGTATTTCTTTGAGAACGTCGTTTTGCTAAAACAGCAATTGTTATAATAAATATAACTACACCAACTGGAATTAATACAATCGATACCCAACGAATAATAGTAAAATAACGTAAAACTTGATTATTTAAATCATTTGCTGACTTTTGATCAATTGTTGTGGATTCATTTATCCATATAGTTGGTAAGATAACTTGTGATATTTGTTTAAGATCATCAATTAATGGGTCAGGTTGAACGAATACATTTATTTGTAAACGTTTTTGAGCATTTAATACAAGACCTGTATGTGGTTCAACATCAAGTACTGTTCGATGAGCATTTGGATCTGGTGCAATACCATAAACACTTTTTATATATTGATCAGCCGCATATAGAAAATGTGGTAATGATATAAATATTGGTGCACCTTGTCGACATGTACTAACATCAAGTACACCTGAATCATATGTACCAAAAGCAATATTATCTGGATTAAGTGTAGAATTAAGAAATACTTCAGATGGAATGGAAAATGTTTCTGTTGGAATTTTTAATATTGCTGAATGATGTTCAAATGTAGCATAGACTGATCGACATATATCAGTTGAATACATATATAAACGTTCAGATTGAAGATCTTTATTTATTAAAGGAGGAAACCATGAACCATCAGTTCCATTGATTTGATTACCCCATAATGTTTTCCAATAAGGTAGATACGAAAGACCTATAAAAATATTTATTTATGAAAAGTTTACAAGAAAAATTTATAATAATATTTTCTATATCAAATAAAAGTAATCATATGGTTAAACAATGCATTTCAGTACCGCAACCTTAGATATAAATTATGTCTTTTCATACTAGAACGAAGGTAAAGAGTTACAAAGCGACATTTTTATTATCAATAATAGTGTCTACGCGGAAAAACTCAAGAATGAGATTTTTTTTTAATTATGCTGAATTTTATTCGTGACATCCATACATTTTTTTGTGATTTTTGTATAATTTTTTGCAAACGTTTACGAACAAGAATGAGATGTTATACGAGTATACATATCAAAAAGATACAGTACAAATTTAGTGTGAAAAGAAAATATAATATTTATATTGCAACATTTTTTTCAATCCTTCTGTAATTTCAAGCAAAGGTGAAAAGACAACACTCATAGCCAAATAAGAGTAAGCCAACGGAGAAAAAGTTCGACCTCAGTACTTCGAAGTACTAAGGTCGCGTTTTTTTCTCTCTAGGGATAATCCCTATTAACTATATTCATTATCTATTTCAAGTTTATTGTGTTAAATTTTTTTCATGTCTAATATGATTTACAAAGTAATTAACTTACCATTCCATTTATTAATAATATTTAATAAGCTGATATGTTTTTGACCTATAAGCAAAATTATACCACATAATAAAAATGATCTGTATAATTTCTCATTGTATTCTACCTGTAAAGACTGTATATAATCCATCATCAGTTCCATTTTGTCCATAAAAATATCCAAAATGATCATCGGGTATTAAATCTTGTAAAATAGGTATTGCTCTTGCTGCTTTAAGTAATCGATCTTCATAACCCCAAATCCATTCACGTGCTGTATGTGTAACAAATAATGATTCATTAAAAACATTCTTAATAAAATTAAATATTTCTTGTGTTATATTTGATTGATTACGAACAAGCGAAATGATTGTAACTATTGGTGTATTGACCATTGTTATTGGTACTTGTTCATCATCAATTGACATATTACGTAAAAATGTATATGATATTGGTTGACGATATGTAACTGTATAGTTTTCATTAAAATATACTCCAGATTTTGTGCGATGTTCTAAATAAGTAAATGGACCACGTTCAACAATCAGTGGTTTTGCTCCTTGAATAAAATCAACAACATTAACACATTCCCATAACCAAAATTGTAAATAAATTGGAACAGGTGGTGTTTTCCATGAATCAAGTTGATCAGAATCGACACTTAATGGTAAATTATTATTTATTT